CAAACTCTGTGCTGCCCCCTTTCCCTAAGCACATGCACATGTTGCTTAATGGTTAATCTGGAGGAGGATTGATCAGCAGGGTGCCCTAAGGTCAGTTCCCATTGAAAAACGCAACAGCCTCATCCTGCCTCATTCAATGGATGTCCCTGCCCACTTTGCTGGCTAATTAGAATGAGTGCTGGAGAATATGTGTACCGGTAGATCAGTACACAATGGAACATAACATAATTGGACACTCAATATACAGAGTAGTGCAGTGTATGCCTTATTGTGTATATCTGATTTCCTTGTAGACTGCATTATGGTTATATTGAGTGGTGTAGCATCGGTCTTTATTGTGTATATTTGATTTCCTTGAAACCTATGCAATCCTGCGGTTATACACAACTGTTCTCTGGCACACACGCCCTCTACGTACTTCCTCTTTCCAAAACATGGATGACAGTGTCATCACCTTGACAGAGTGACTAACATCTGGAGCTTTTGGGGATTCTGGCAGGAAAGAGAAAACAGCAGGCTAAGAACATTGAGTCCTAGGCTGGAGGTAAGCAACTACAGAAGACCCAAGAGTTACAGAACTGCAGGTCACAGCAAAGCAGGCCAGACTGAGACAAAGATCTAAATAGATTACTCAGTCTGGCCGGTCATGTGTACCAGGGCTAACTGGGACTGTGGTCGTTCAATGGCTGGGGGCTATGTGTCCGTCAACCTTATTCTACACAGGATGACAAAGCTCCGGTCTTAAAATAGATACAAACCTAACTAAACCTTGTCATAGTAAGCTAGATGTCTCTCGTTCAACCGTGTGCATGATGAGAGAAATAACTCAGTTTTTCCATCCATGCTAACACAACATAGATGGAGGAATCTGCATGGCTGGCTATTGTATTCAAGCGCTGGCACCCATGACTTTCTAAATACCTGTTTGGCTGATAATCTTCTACCCCACTTCAATTTTTTGACATTTGTGGATCTTGCTGGTGCCAATTTAGAAGGAACTGGGCAAAATCTGATGTATTGCCAACTGAAAGGTTAAGTTAACTTTTCGGACCATGTTTCATATTACTCTCATAGTAACATGGTTATATCGCAACCCCCACTTACCTGGATTGTGGGGTTTGTGGGGTTCTTCTTCCCACAGGCTGCTGCTCTTTTTATAAGTCAGCACAGTTTTTTATTGCTCTGCCCCGCTGCGTCATTCATTCACATTTCCTTTGACAGTCTGTGAATGGAGGAACTACGAGGTTCATCAGCCACAGCTGCAGAGAGACTTAGTTCTCATAAGGAATACAAGTGTGATGACATCACAGCACTTGTAGTCCAATTGTTCTTCACTGTAGTTCATTTAGTGTGCATGAGTCAGAGCACTGCACCTGCCATCCCCGGATTCACATGGTTGCAATGCTTTACTGTCTCGAATGCAAAAAAAATAAAAAATACACATTTAATAAAGTATTGAAATTAGGGATGCACAGATACTGATATCGGTGGGCATTTTCACGAGTACTCATACGTGTAAAAATGCCCCGATACCAAAAACCGATACCGGCACTTTAATTTTCCAAATTGCTTATGCTGCCTGCGGCACTGCACTTGCTGGGGACCTCACAGCAGCCTTCATGGGAACCACACAGCATCCTGCTTACAGCGCTTGTGACGCCCACACATCTCCTCCTCTTGAGACCCTCCGCCCGAGACATCAGGCTGGTACCCCAGGGCAAAGCGTTTGCATTGCTGTATAATGTATTGCTGAGATTTGTAGTCCCTCTATAGCTTTGATTTAGTGGCAGAACTACCAGGGTTGAAGTGGCCGCAGCTGTGACCAGGCCTGGCACTCCACCACTGTCCTAAAATCATTAGGATTGTTGTAGAAAAACACAATTAAAGAAAACAGTATCGGTAATTGGCATCGGTGAGTACTTGAGGAAAAGTATCGGCAATTGTACTCAGTCTGGAAAAAAAATGTAAAAAAATTGGTGCATCCCTAATTTAAGTTTTTTTTTTTACTTCTCTTTTGGGTAACAGGAGCATATTGACTAATGTCCTCCTGTGACCCAAACTCAGCAAATAGCGGGCTACTGCCCACTATATGCCGACGGTGCAGAACCGTGCTGCACCTGGGAAGGATCCTGACAATATTTTGGGGATCCACACCACTGCCTGATTGACAGCTGGCTCTGCCTCTCTAGTGCCACAGCCAGCTGCACCTGCCCCCTCCCGCCTGTCCCTCCGATGAGCACTGGAGGAAAAGAAAGCAGGAAGGGAGAAATCTCTGCTGGGAGCAGTGATTGACAGTCCCGCTGTCTGCAAGAAGCCGTGAGCCGAGTGATCAGCGATTTGTGATCAGGCCCGGATTCCCCTCAAGGCCACCGAGGCCCAGAGCGGCGGCAGCGGTGTCCTTGTGGGGAAGTTTCCCTCTCTACATTCAGTCCTGCTTTGTACAAGCAGGACTAAATGTAGAGTGAGGAAGCCAATTTTTCGTTTACATGTGAAATCGGCAATGTCGCCGAGATCACATGTAAACAGTGTGCAGCCGGTCGGTCCGTCATCCCCTTCCCCCTGCACTTACCTCTCTCCTTTCGTTCCATCCTCCGTCGCCGAGTCCTGAGTCTCTCACAGAACTTGGCCTTGGGGCGGCAGGGAGAGCTTCTCAAGCTATAGAACTGGCATGTGACAGCTGCAGTGTTCCACTCTGGCTAAAAGTATTGGGAAGAATACATTTACTTTCTCAGTAGTTCTCCTTTAAGATGGTAAAGCCTATATGAGACTTGAGTAATTGGGTTAACACATACTGAGACTACTACACAGTTGTGACGGCCTCTGTAGGTCCCATAACTCAGAGCACAGTGGACAACCCAATCCTTCTCTACATAAGCAATGGATTTTCTCATAAAAGAAGAACAGAATTTGTCACCCACTGCACCTACTCAGATTCTCTTTCATTCTCCAATGGTGACTTTTTACACTGTAGATGTATATCAGTCCGTGTTGCAGCACCGCAACCAATCCTATGATATCTTTGAAGTCAAGTAGGATAAAGGGAAGAACTTGACTGGCTGTGTTGGGGTAATAGAGCCTGAAATCTTTCTTGCCTCGGGTACTTTGATAAACGAGGGAAAACACAGTTAAGATAAGAAGAGTTTGGCTTCTTACATAATTTCTCAGAGGAATGTGCGCTAACCTCTACGCGTGAATGCAGTCTGCGCACATCTTGTACAGGAATACACTGAACAATGCCGCCACTGCTCTCTGTACGCCTCTTTGATTAGATCTGAATAGAGGGGGCTAGTGTGGAAATCGGAGGGAAAGAATCTGGAACAATGCTACCTTTATGTAAACACTAATGTGAACTCGGGCTTCCGATGAGTAGGCAGCATGAAAAGATTAGCTTGAATCAGGGCACATTGCCGGGGCTGAAATATCATTCAGGTGCTAAGCTGAAAGCACACTGGGCCCATAATAGCAGTTACATAATGCGGTATTGGTGTAGATGTTTTCCATCTGAAATATAATGGACAATCCCCATCGCTCGAAAATGAAGAGGTCTCAGGTGCATTTCACTATGGTCATGGTGCCTATTGTCATCGTCCTATGGTTGGCGGCAGAAGAATACGTGGGTGTGGTTAGGATATCTTGCAGTCTATCCCACAAAGTTAAGAGTTTTTTTTATTTTCAAGCTGAAGTTCACTAGTTCATGAATGTGCCATTCAGTTATGGTCCCATGCATGACAAAGTGCTTATCTGCTGCCCATCCCAGAAGCAAGCCATTCTTTTTGCATCAAGAAGGCAGGATATCATCAGTACTTTCACATATGGAGAGCAACCCTTTCCTGCCACATGACAGCGAAAGTGCTTGGTAATTGGCTGCACAGGCAGCCAGTGCCGTCACATGGCTGAAGCTCAAGCGTCCTAAGCCCTATGTGAGCCCCAGGTCACGATGTAGAGCTTACTCAAAGCTTCTGCTCTTTGCTCCTGGCAGCCGAATGTAATACTTAAGAAAACTTGAGAATGCAACATTAGGGAAGGTGGTGACAGTGGCGTCACAAGGGGGGTGCGGCCCGCACCCGGGTGCCATCATTGGAGGGGTGACACCAAAATGACTGTCAGTCATTTTGGTGTCACCCACTATGAAAAGTCGGGCACTCGGTCACGGACCAAGAGGCCGACAGTGTCAGGAGAGAGGAGCGGAGCCGGCGGCATACCTCATCCTGCCGGGTGAACGTCCCCTCCTCTCCCTGCCGGCGACCATCACCAAGATGGGCGCCGGCAGGCGTCAATAAGACGACCTCGCATGTGCGATGACGTCACGGCAGGGTGTCACCCGGTCTCCGCGTCCGTCGCCCCTGGGTGGTGATTTAGTAAACCTGTGGCTCTGCCCTGCCTGGGCAAATCACAGGCCTGTGCAGAGAGCAGAGCAGAGCCTCCCATTGGAAGGACCTAGCAGAGCCCACCCACTAAAGGCTGCCTGTAGAAAACTACAGGATGGGGCAGATACAAGACCAGCCCCCCTGCACAAGGAGAAAGAACAGCAGTGACTGGTCTTTATTACAGAAAGCTCCTGCACAGAGACAAAGTACAGGTCTGGTTCATTGATACTGCACATATCTGTAAAACATAAATCAAGGCAACTGGACTGGCTGCATTTTTCTTGAAGACGCTTTGCTGGTCATCAGACTAGCTTTCTCAATTCAGAATTTTGAATTGAGAAAGCTGGTCATATGACCGTCGACACGTCTTCAAGAAAGATGCAGCAAGTCCAGTTGCCTTGGTTTATTTTCTACAGATATACCATGACCTGCATATATGGGAACCTTCATAGGACATACCGATATTGCACAGATCTGGACGAATTACATAAAGACAGAATAAACATGCCTCTGGTATTTAGACTATTTAGTTGTTTAACCCAAAGTTCAACTTTAACACCATAATCCTGAAGGTGTCAAGTGACACTATTAAAAAATAAATAATACGCATAGCAAGGCGTCTTGTGTTCTCACCTTTCGATGCTGCTCATAATTTCGAATAAAGTCACGCAGTTGCTCCTCCCGGCTTTCCAGGGTGGAATACAGCTGCTCCATTTGGCTCACCAGGTCTGCCTTTTCCGACTTTAATCTCCTGCGATCTGCCTTCATGGCTGCAAAACAGGACGGAGAAATGGCTATAAATATTTAATACTCATCGCAAAAACACAGTCACGCCGCAACTGCAAAAACCTGTTGAAGAGGTTTCACAGGCCTCCGGTATTACAATGTGGAAAGGGATGCTGTGACCTCTGACACCAGCTCTTATTTTTAGACAATTCAAACCAGAATCGGATGGCTCTAAGCAACACACTTCTTCTACCCTATAGAAAACACAACATTTTGTTTTAAAGGTTACAGACATCTCAACCCGGGAGAGAAAAATGTTCTCCTGGAAAGGTTTACTTTACTCTATCAGAGTAAACCTTTCCCTGCTGTCTTTTTTCCCCCTGACATTGGAGCCGCCGTCAGTCAAAAGATTAAAAAAAAAAACGGCATAGGAACCAATAGCTAGATTGCTATTGGCTATTGCAATAGCCAATAGCAGACTTGCTATTGCACCTGCCCACTACTGCTGTCAATCGGCAAAGGTGGGCCTGAAGTTCTCCATCAGGTCCACCTCTGCTGACCGACAGCAGCAGAGGGTGGGTGCAATAGCCAGCTTGCTATTGCAAATTGAACTAGCCAATAGCAATCTAGCTATTAGTTCCTATGCCTTTTTTTTTTCCTGACGGCAGCAGCTCTCAGAACTCTAAAAAAAACAGTAGATAGCAAAGGAAGCATTAGCCTCTTTACTATCTGCCATCATTTCAGGGGTGTGCCCTCTTCCTTGTTGTTGCACCCCCGAGAGGAGGGTGGTTGACAAAGGGCACCTCCCTGAAATGAGAAGGGCGCCTCCTTGAAATGACTTATTTCAGGTTTGGATCCCTGAGGTTATAACTACTGCCCCCCCTCCCCCCCATCTGTGTCCCATTGAAGAGATTTCACTTCACATACCATCCCATATTAACAACAGAAACCAAGAGAAAATCCCTCCAAAGTGAGGAAAATCCCTCCTGTCACCAGAACGAGTGTCCCTACTGGATGATATCGCTTCCATTCCTGTTCGGAGGACAACTCAATATTTGGGATTTCTTTCCGGTCATCAGGACAAATAGAGTAGGGCGAATCTCAGAACGAAGACACAGACAGCAATAAAAACCTGAAAGGGGTTCGGAGTCCCTCTCCACTATATCCAAAACTAAAAAAAGTCTTGGATTTAGTTGGTGAGGGTGCTCTCCGCACACCTTACAGCAGTCCCGGCCAATAAGAACAATGGTGCTTGTAGTAACGACCACGGATGGCACCGTGCAAAATACGAAGTAAGGAGAGGTCACCAGCACTCAAAATAATTTAAATAAGTCCTTTTTTAATGGACAATTGCGTCACAATAATCAACAAAGCCGACGTTTTTTCGGGGCCGCGCAGGGTCCCTTCTTCAGGGCAGAAAGATGTGACAGTATAATAGTATTCCCACACCACATTGGATTTAGTTCTACTTTAAATATTAAGGAAATAACCAATCACCCTGGTCTGATTCTTGGTTTAGGATGCACTGAGCGGAAGAAAAAAAAGGTAAGGCAAATCTATATTGGGAACAAAATATTATACAATCAGAATCGGTCATTGGTAGAGTAATTTGAGTGTGCGGGGCACAGAATGACCGCAACAGAACTAACGTTAAAAATTCCTTTAATTCGCTGCTGTTTAAGCAGCACTAAGCTTTTGCTACATACACCCTTCAATGGAGAATTCATCTGTCATGTACGATCCAGTGGGAAGAGTCTGCTGACAATAATATTTTTAACCCCTGGTTGTTTATAATTAACAGATTTTGAAATAATATAATAATGAAAAAATAATTAAAAAATTATAATTTTATAATATAAGCACCGCGCAATGACCAGTTTTCTCTTTTCTCAGTACCAGACTACCAGCTGATGGAGCAGAGGGCTCTTCATGTGCCTCCGGAGCATCGGTGGAGAGCACAAGACACAACTTCAGCTCCTAACATCCCATTTCACATCACATGCTCTAGGAGGTTTTGGAGCTCCTTGGGTGCTCAGAAAGTTATCTCAAAACTATATACAAATCCCTCCAGGCTCTCTTTATCTCACCAATGACTCATCCGCTTAGTCTGTCAGTGGAAATGTCTCTGTTGTGGCTCCCGAAGTTCTGCTATCAGTATAATTGAAGAAAGATATGCAGGTGGTTTGCAACACTCATGTACAATCTCTGCACTGACCACATCCTATCCAATCTCTGACACTTTTGCTCTCATCTCAAAAAATAAGAATCAATGAGTTTGATCAACAAAATGTTGTCTATAAAGCATCTGGGCCTGGGGAGATGTAATGCCTGCCTTACCCAGCACCCTGCCTCTGAGAGCAAACGAGCCATGTATCAATCTCATACAATGCTGCCATCCCCACAGGAAACCTGTACAGTAGCAGGGAATTGATTGCTAACCTTTAGCACAAGACATTCTAACTTGCAGTTGAAAAAAAAGGAAAGAAATTCCTTCTGCATATAAAAGCATATTACTGGCTGCTGTTATTGTGACTGTTCCTTAGTTTGTAATCCAATCTCACATGAATGGGCTCTGAGATCAATAATGGATATGCTGCAGATATTGAACAGCCAATATGTCCCTCACCCTGCTGTGGACATAGCTTTGGTGAAAGCCGAGGGAACAAAGCAAGGCATGATGGGTATTCCTCTGATGTTTTAAATTCAGCATCAGTAGAGATATGTCTAAAAAGACTGGTTTGCACAAAGCCTTTGTACCTTTGTGTGGTCAGCATTATCGGCATTTAATATTTCTGGCAAGCGGTTATGGGTTTGTACATGTCTCGATCATTCCAGTTTAGACCCAGTTGAAGGACAACAATACAGGAATGTATGCACTGTAAGAAATGTTGTAATGTATGCACTGCATGACTGAAACTGTAATGAGATACAAGATGTAGAACACAGCAAAGTCCTATAAACCATTTCCATAGATGTCTGTGAAGTTTCTCATTCATCCAGGTCATGGTATATCTGTAAAAAATAAATCAAGGCCTTGTTGTATTTTTGTTTGAAGACATTTTGCTGGTCATCTGACTAGCTTTCTCAATTCAGAATTGAGAAAGCTAGTTGGATGACAAGAAAGTCCAGTTGCCTTGATTTATTTATTTTTTTACAGATATTTCCATAGATGCTGCCCAATTTCTGTCTCACCCAATCAGTCTTTTTTTATTTTTTTAAAAGGTCTGCGAGAACTAAAAATTTGCAATAGCAATAAATGATCAGCTGTTTTATATCATTCCAAGTTAAGTCCATTCCATTGAAGTCTGTTGGGGCCAAAAACACATGATCGTACCCCACAGATGCTCCTTCCATTATGTGTATTCTTAGCCAGACCTGCCTTATGTATTTGATTCAGTTTTCACATCTCTAGGAATCCTCTACATGGCAGCACTCGCACCGAAGACAAGGGATGGGCAGCACCCTGAGCCAACAACTGGGGCTCTACTGTATTTACTGAAGGGTACACAAACATGACCTCATCAATGTGTTTGGTTCTTTCATTGTCCAGTGCTAGTCTTGGGTGATTTTGGGATCAGGCAATATTGTGTAGGTCCAGAATGGTCTGCACAGGGGTCCATTAACCTTTCTGCAATGTTCACACATATGTAGTACAACTGTGTATCTACCCATCAAATTTATGTATGGCGAAAGGTTTTGGGTTTTATGGGTAGAGCGGGAAAGAGTTAGAACTTCTGTCAAGTTGTTATTGCCATCTGTGTTCCTACAGGGCGATTCAACCCATCTATTCGTCCTGTTGGCTATTGTAACCAAAACAGAAAATTATGGAATATCCAAAATTGGGATGTCCCAAAAACAAGAACAGAGGGGAAATCTTCCAACAGGAACACTTGTTCAGGGGACAACTCTCCAAGACAGAAATTGTTCCACTTTGTAGAGATTCACACTTGCTTTCTGTTCCTTATCTATAAACAGAGTTGAAGGAAAATCTCACTAACTAAAAATAATCTTAAGAGTTTTAATTGGGGATGCACCGATACTACAATCGGTGCCGATACCGAGTATTTAGGCAAGTACTCGTCCAAATGCTTTGATACCTTCCCTGATAGCAGATCTTCCGGACAGAGGGAGATTTCCTCTGACCAGCAGTGCCACAGGGGAACATGAAGCTGGCTTCCCAGCTAATCATGAAGCTAGGCGGCAAGTAATGACTCGCTGCACGGCTCCCTGGTTGCCCCGCTCGATTGCTGATTGGCCGAGAATGCGGCTTTCCGGCCAATCAGGAAGCCAGGCAGTGGGTAACGGCCCACCTCCCAGGTTCCTGTTTGGCCTGTAAGCCGGCTCAATGCTGAATGGCTGGGAAATCAGCTTTCCAGCCAATCACCATGGAGCCGGCCAAACAGCATCGAGCTGGCTTCCTGAGCAGTCAAGAAGCTGGGTGGCGGGTCATGACATGCCGCCCACCTTCCTGATTGCCTGGGAAGCGGCCCCATGCTAGCGGAAATACCGGTATTGGCGAGTAGAGAGATATAAATATCGGTACTCTTACTCGATACCGAAAAGCCGGTATCGGTGCATCCCTAGTTTTAACCCTTCCCTACTCTATCAGAAACGGAAAAAAAGTATACACACACTTTCATCTTCAAATAAGATATCCATTTAAGCAAGTTATGGCAGAACACCCCAAGTCCTACGCACAAACACATCCTTATCTTAACTACCTAGATGTGTTTTTAAGAGATTGGAAACATGTATATGTTAAAAGGCCTTTTAAGTAAACTATTTTTCTAAATAAAATTCCAGCCCTTATGACTGTTATCAAAAAGGAGAACTGAAGTTTTATAGTTTCTTTGAAATTATTTTAGCCAAGATCCAGTCTTAACATGCACCTACATTCCAGTTCTAGAATTATGATAAAATTACGGAATGTGTTTATATATTGTTCATGCAGTCTGCAGTGAAAACTATTAAAAAAACAAGTTTGTGCAAAAAGAAACAGACCGAGTGCAGAAAAAAACAGATATGTCATAGAGGGTATTCATAA